AACAATATTAAAAAAATTAGAAGTGTAAATAAATTAATCAATAACTCAAATTCATATTTAATCAATTGTAGAGAAAGAACAAAAGAGAGAAAGAAAAGAGATTGAGAAGATATAAGTCAAAATTAACATAAATATAATGTAATTATAAGTATGAAAAACTTCAGCAACACGAAGAAGGAGGAGGAGAGACATATAAGCGAGGAAAAGAAAGAAGATGCAGAAAAAGAAGAAACCAAATGAGCGGCTTATGTTGGTGTGAGAATATATAGAGTTTTTTACCCATATGAAATTTGTCGGTATTATTTTTACCGACGTAATACACATAGTTAAGATAAAAGTTTGAGTGGGAGCCAAAAAAAAGTCGAAATTTTTTGATCCCGCCTTTTGTTTCACCGACAATATTCTTGTTGAAAAGTTAAAAACCAAATATTTTGTGGTTACCGCCATCATTTACCGACAAATGCACGCCGGTAAGTTTTTTTTTTTTAACAGTACTTGAATATGCATTTAATTGCAAGCCTAAACCTCAAAAAAAGTCTAATTGCAAGCCTCAAACCAAAAACTCTCAAAAAAATCTTTGAAAAAAATCATCCTAGAAAAAACAGTGTCCAAAGCCCCTTTTTTGTTCCCAGTGGCTATGGCCGTTTGGTGGCGATCGGTGAAGATGATGAGATCCGAGAGATGATCGACAAAGATGGTGATGAGATCAAAGTCGGGGGACTGGAAAATCATCCTAAAAAATACAGTTCTCCAAAACCCCCTTTTTGTTTTCCCTGTGGTTATGCCCGTCTGGTGACGATTGGTGAAGATGATGAGATCCGAGAGATGATCAGCAAAGATGGTAACGAGATCGAAGTCGGGGAACTGGAGAGAGGTTGACGGTAGGAGAAAAGAAGATCCTTATTTTTGTGTGGCTAAGAAGATTCTTATTTTTTGTGTGGCTACCCCGTCTGGCTTTGTCCGAATTTCCTCCACTAGTTTTTTTAAGGGTTGGCAAAAGCGGCTGCAAATCCCATCCTTGAAGAATTAATGGACTGTGGTCATTGGTCATGGGATATGTTTGGTGGGCTGCCGGAGTGATATCACCGACAAGATTTTTGTTGCAGAATCTTATAGTTACCGACGAGAGATTCATCGATTCCTAAAATCTCTGCTCACTGCATTCAAAAAGCTGCCGGAGCTAGGGGAGTGGGTATTCAGGATTAATACCGACAAAAATTACGTGTGTTGGATGAATTTACCGACGAAATGCTCGTCTGAGATTTAAATAATATAAATTAATTTTCATTTTACTGTTTTGAACCATACAGACATGTTCTTTGTCGGTAAGCATTCATTTAACCGACAAATCTTTCCACGTCAGTGATTTTTGGTCAGTGATATTAGGTTTTCTTGTAGTGTTTGGATTCTCTGGAGACCATTTTAGCCTCTCTTTTTTTTTTTTTTTCTTTGTCATCTTACAAAATAATTAGCACCAATATCTCAAGGCATCCAATTCTCTTTAATATTCATTATTATTATTACTATTATTAAACAGGCTCAGGGAGGATCAGTGGGAGTGGGGTAATTTTGTTCAACCACCAAATTCATCACGATGGCGGCTTCCCTCCACTAGGGAATGTGACCGCCAGTTCATGGAATTCCTCAGTGAAAAAGTAAAACACGGTTTTCTCCCTTGGCTATCTAGTCACACGATCATAGAGACCGACATCCTCGCACACGAACCGTGGGAACTTCCAGGTATATTTAATTATTTATACATCTTAATTTTCTTTTAAATACTCTATTTATATGTTTTTAGTAATTTTAATTTAATTTCTTAATTTTTAAATATAAAATCATAATTTTATGGTAAAATCGTTTCAAATCTCAATTTTTCTTTCATGGAGTGAAAGAATCACTCTGTTATTGATTTGAGAAAATAATTAGTAGATTCAGTATTTAAAAATTATTTTCATGTAAAATAAGTGTTATTTTTCACATAATATAAAAGTTATTTGGAAAAGTGTGTAAATATGTACCGTATATATGTATTTTATTAATTTCTAACGTTGAATTTGCTGACACAGGAATGAACCATGCAAATAATTCGGGTTGGTATTTTCGGAAAAGGAGAAGGAAAACAGAAAGAGCAAAGAAAATCGACAGGGCTATAGCAACATACGCTGGAAACTCTCCATGGCGTCAGTACGGGGATGTAGAAAAAAATTAAGGATGATAAGAACATTGAGTGGGGAGAGAAGAGGTCGTTCAGATATATAAGAGATGGCGAGAACACACAATGGTTGATGAGAGAATACATCTTGGTTGGCAGGGATGATCATATTGTTTTTTGTAAAATATACTACAAGAAAGAGGAAGTAACCTACACTCTCTCCAGGGATTAACATCCACAAACTAAATGAAGTAACCTACATTCTCTCCAGGTCCTCAATTGAGAATGACAGACTTTCCTTCATCAGTGCGTTGCATACACAATACCCTGCCATATTTCATATGGGGTGTGCAATACTTTCGTGACATTACAATATCACGAACCTCATTTTTATAATAAAATTCTCCTTATTTGATATCTGCTGCTTTTAGCATTTGTTGAAGTTTAAATTCCTCAATCCCCTCCCCACCCCACCCCTTTTCAGTTAAAAAAAGGACAATAAAATTACCAAAATGGCAACAAAAGTCGGGAGAAAAATCTTTAAAGAAATCAAACTCTTAAAATAAATTCTTGAATTCTCTATATGTGTTTAATCTGTCACTGCATCCAATGTTGCAACCAGTCATTTTCCCAGATAATTTTCAATCATATTTTCATGATCCTAGAACACCTACATATTGCTAGCCACCCTTCTAAACCCAAAATAACAAGGAATAATCACTGAGAAGAAGTATCTGTAACTAACCCTTAGCCTAACTACCTCAAATAAATTGCTACAAAAGAAACAGTATCTTCAACTTTCTCCAACTATGAATCCAAAATCAATTTATTAATTTTCATCTTCTTTTTATTAGGAGATGCTCATATATGAGTCAACAAACTAGTTTCTCTTTTGTGAAACATTGGCCTGGAAAGAAAAGATCACAACAGTAAAAAAATAATCGTTTTGTTTTGCGATTTATATGCTTTATGGTTTTACAAGTACTGACACACCACTCAAAGAAGCCATTCTTCAGAAACAGAACTTGGTTGACTAAAACAACTGAAACCTTCTAACCCATCAGAAGTCAAGCCACCTCATAAGAGTATATATGGTGACCATGACACTTAACAGTCCATCTATCTGAGATCCTAATAGTAATAGCATCATAAACGAGTTCGCTTCAAATCCCTTAAAAATGAACAAAAAATAAATAAAAAATAAAAAACAGCCATAGATGTGACAAAACTTTTAAACTAACAAGGATAAAAAAAACCCCATGAGATACATGCCAAAATTGAATACTAAGAACCATCCAACTAGTAATAGAACAGCCTATAAACATCCCGCATCGGCTGAAGAAGTACCTGTTCAAACTATCAGCACTTCCCTTAAGCAGGTTCCAACTTTTCGTCTACCATTAGGATGCATATTCCTCGTTCATCAATACCTCTGACGACCAGCACGGCCACTCATTTGTATGTACTCTCCACTAGATTATCCATCTAAAATTGTTCCCATCGAATTTACGAACATTTGTAAAAACAACAGTTTTGGCTGGCATGTTCAGACCTATGCTGAAAGTCTCTGTGGCAAACAA